GTGCAAACTTGGATGGGTGACCGTTTGAGAACGCCACGTGCTGTTGGCTTAAAAGAGAAAAAAAAAAAATGAGAACAAGACAAAGTAAGAACCAAAAAAACAAATCTTGTTCTACTGTCGACCTGAGGCAGCTCGACGAGAATGTGAATTTCACTGCTTCTGACCCTGGCCACTCCAAAGATGTTAGTCACCGGAGCCCAGTTCAGGAGACAAATCGTTCCCATCGAATAAAAGACGGACTCAGGAAGACCTTCAAGAATTGATGTGGTGCTATCTTATAATAAGTGGCACCACCGAAATTCGAGTATTTGTCCCTAAGGAATCGGGTAGAAACCTCGGATAAATACTTAAAAACTCCGACAAGTAGCCTTGTCGTGTTTAATGGTGGATAATAATAATAATAATAATAATAATAATAATAATAATAATAATATTTTCCAATTGACTGTGGTTTTATTGTTAATACCTATTTTCATAAAATTTAAACGCATTAATAAATAAATAAATATAAATTGTTATTAATTAATAATAATTTTTTTTTTGTTTGAGAAATTTTTTTTGTGCGAAAGTTTTTCTTTTTTTCTATAAATTTTCTTTTTAAATTTTACGTCAGAAAAATAATTTTTTTTTTTTTTTTACAATTTTACGTTCGTCGCGTTTAGCTTTCCTAAAGAAAAAAGAAAATTTCAAATTGATTTTCTATTTATTTATTCGGAAAATTCGATTTCGATTTTTATTCTGTTCGTGTTTTTGTTTGTTCGACTTTAATAACGAAATAATACTCTGATTTTTCATTTGACTGATATTTGATTTTACTATAACGTATACAACGGTTATTGTTACGTGTAAAAAATTTTTAAAATCAAATAATAATAATAATAATAATAATAATAGTCAATCGATATTTTTCGTTTTGAAAACGTTTTCAAATCTAACACGCGCGCAAAAAAAAGTTTTTTAAATTCTGATCAATCTCCATTATTATTATTTATAAATGTTTTAATTGCTCTTTTTTTGACGTTCTCAATTATTTTTTTTGCTTTTACAAAAACCAAATGTTAGAGAGAGAGAGAAAATGATTTCCATATATTTCAAATGATAGTTAATTCACTTGAAAAATTATTTTAAAATTTCCCAAAAAAAAAAAAAACAATTATGGAATACTTAAAATTAATTAACACATAATAAGTGGACAGTGGAGCCTTCGCAGCTATTATTATTATTATTATTATTATTATTATTATTATTAACGCTAAAATTTAAAAACACATAAAAACTCAAAAGTTTGTTTTTTTTAA